TTTGGGTTGAAAGAGGTGGCCCTTGGAGGTCACCTGAGCCATCTTAGTTCTGCATGAAGATTTCTTTCAGAAGAAGGGCATCCCTAGAAAGTGGAGCCTGGAGCTTTTGCCGTTGAATAGGTAATGCACACAGCTAGGAGATGTGTCACCTCTGAGAAGCAGGCTGCTGAGACCCACCATGGCACTCTCTTCTCTGCCAAACTCATTTCTCAGCTTCCCATGGTCTTATCATGGGACCTGTTGGGTGCAGTGAAGAGTCAGCCTACCTGCACCTCCCAGTGTTTGGGTCTGCTGGGCCCGGCAAGCCGCGGTGCAGCAGTTGTGGAGACCTCTCCTGTGTGGGAAGATGTTTCAAGGCACCATGAATGGGACACAGGACTGGTAGTGCAGTGTTTTGTCATTGCACTAATGCAGCTTTTTCAGAGAGGGAACCACTACCATGCTGCTGGGGGAGGATGGGAAATCCCACAAGGGGAGAAAGAGGGCAAATTGCTTGAAAACATCATTCTGACTGTCAGAGAAGGGACTTTTCCCCCTCCAGGAAAGTATTTAATGATTCTGGCTTGTTAAGATGCTGCTTTACAGGCCTGGTTTTTGTTTTGCTTTGTTTTTCTCAGTACACAGACACAAAGGAGGAAAAAGCAATTAAAAGTGTTTCACTGAGATTTAATGGTATGTTTCTCAGTTGAGACCCAGAAGTTTGTTATTGATTCCATTGCTAGAGCAGCAGTTTGGGTTTGGCAGATGAGAAGTTGTGCGTTAAAAAAAAAAAAAAAAACAAACAAAAACAAAACCCAAAAAGAATGATGGAAAGATGAAAAGCACCCAACTTGGGCTGCCCTCATGATTTATTACCACATAATATGTAGCAAGACTAATTCCAGATTTGTTGCTTTGGGAAGAGAGGACTCAACTGAGAGCACCTGGAGGGGATTAACTAGTTTGCAGTTTGGCTTTATGAAGATATGAGACCTCTTCCTCTTCCACCATGTTCTCCATTTCTTTCCAGTGCTTCAAAGTTTAGCACAGCAATATGGAGCAACATAGCCAAAGATCTCAGGGATAAAGGGATGGCCATTGCTACCCTGCAGGAGTATGAGGAGGAGACGGAGATTGCAAAAATATGCTGTCTGAAGCAAAAAGAAAGAAAGGAGAGAAGGAGGGAGGGAAGGAGGGAAGGAAGGTACCTTTGGTTATGCTTCTTCAGGGTGCCTCTGTTCATGAAGGTCTTACTGTTAAAATAGAGTTTAACCCTCCAAAATATGGGAGCAAAATCACTCACTTCAAGGGTAGAGCAAATGACAGCATTCCCTCTTTAAAACTACTCCTCTGTGTCCTTCCTGCCTCCGGTTCCATGGAATAGGCAGAAGCTTCACCAAGGCTGAGCAGTGTACCCACAGATATTTACTGGACTCGAGGAGAGCCCCCACAGCCATGGCTGATGGCAGACCCCCACTAGGCAGCTGGTCCCTATTGACAGATCATGTCATGGAGGTTTCCTGGCTGGCAAGAAAACCTGTTGTGCTGTAATGCTTATCAGACACTGGTCCTGGGACAGCAGAAGGGGAGATGGAGAGATTAGTGAGACACAGAAGACAGGTAGAACATACTGAGGGTCATGGAAAGCAAGGGCTGGCAAGGGACTTCAAAAAGGCAAAAGATTTTCAACTGGAAAGCCAAAAAAAGCCAGAGGTGCTTGTGTGGGAGGGCAGGGGTGCTCACAGAGGTGAAGGAAGCAGGCACCCATGAACCAGCCTTGCGAGTGAGTGCCAAACAGAGAAGGGAGAAGGAAGGATTAGCAGGATGGCATAGAAAGATATGAAGGGGCTGAGAGGCAGGTCATTAGAGGAGGTACCTTCTGTTCTTGGTGGCTTGCAATAACCAGGGCAAGTTGTCAAGAACCCACACTGATCCTTGGCATGTTGAGCTGGAAGTGAAAAAATGGGAGTGCTCTTGGGCTGCAAAGCTAAGTCAGCTCCAGCACTTCCCCTCCCTGATTTCATACACCAGCAGCCTTGGTGGAGGTGCTTTTCAGGGGCTGTCATCCTTGTGTTGCCACAAAAGAGCTGTGAGCCAGTGTGACAAGGGCACTGCTGTGCTCATTCAGAGCAAGCACGTGTACTGCCAAAGGCAGTGACTACAGCTCTGCTGCAGACCTTGCTCTGTTCCTTGAGCAAAGACTGGCCCTGTGGGGTTTAGTCAGCTTTGGAGGGCACAAGTTTGAAACTCCTTTGCAGGAGGGAGGAGTGGTCAGTCTCACAGTGATGCCCCTATGATTAAATCCCTAATTTTGCACACCCAGGTAGAGGGCAGCTCACACTGACCTTCCTCCCCAGAGCCTCGTGCATCTCCTCATGCCCACACAACGTAGGCATAAGGCAGCCTCCAAAACCTCCAGAGCCTTAGCTCTTATGGATGCCTCTTACATACACAAGCACCACAGCTCTCAGCCTTACCAGCCCCAGACCCTCCCTGGGCGACCCTGGAGCTGCAAACAGGGTCTTCTCAGCTCCCATCAGGGCATCACACATCCCAGCTCGGAACATAGATGTTGTGTAAGCCACAGAAAGAAATGTACCACAGGTAAGACAGAAGTGTCGGGTGGTGTTGGCATTCCCCCCCCCTCCCCCCATTCCAAAAAAAACCCCATCCAATCCTTATCCTCTCCCTCCAAGCCACTTTGTGCCCTTGCCAAGCCTGGCACTGCTCGAGGGGGGCAGCGGTCAGAGCAGAGCGGGAAACAGTTAGCACAGAAATCACATTTTCTGTTGTTGTTTTTGAAAGCAGTAAGGCAAATAATTAAAAAAAAAATATTTGAGTTCTTCACATCACTGAGGCCCTGTGATGCTAAGCATCACTGACCAAATATCTTTTAAGAAAAGAATTTTTGCTATGTTTTTCTTGGATTTCCACAAGAGTTTGCTAATGAAAGGCAGCGGAAGAATGATGCAGGGGAATTAAGTGGCTCTCTGCTTGAAGAGCTGAATAATCAGTGAACAAAACAGTAAGGATCCATGTGGCTTTTATGTTTCACTGCTATGCTAGATACTTTGATGGCAGAGCTGTGCAGTCACTGACATTGTATACCAAACACACACTGTAGAAATGCTTATTAAAAAATAACATAATTAGTATAAAATGCATATTGCTTATGTAATGAGGCAGTTTTATATATGAAATTTTAAAATAAAGTAAAAAGGCAAACATTATTTTAGGCACTGCTTTGCCATCAGGCTTCTCAGCAGGTGACAGTGTGGGTTGTTTGCTGCTCTTTCTCCCTGTTGTTTTCCTCCTTACTCTCCTGACCATCACAGACCCTAAAGACTGGCGAGAAGACATCTAACAGACCATATGTGCTACTGGCAGCACACAAGACATAACTGTAATGGTCAGGGTTGTAAAACACATCTGATGCCACAGCTAAGCTGATCCTATGTCCAGCTTTTCACAAAAAAGGCAAGCCTGCTCTTCTCATCAGACACCAGAAGCTGGGGTGCTCTCATGAACATGTCCTGGGGTGGTTGGGAAAGGGCAATGGTTGATCTTTTATTTCTCTCATTCCCTGGTGTGTCCTCCAGCAAGTCAGGTCACAGCCAGCCCTGATATGGGCTTTGTTGTAGGGTTGCCCCTCAGGGCAAGTTGCCCTTGGGCACGGGGATCCCAGTGCTGGCCCGCCCTAAAGGCTTCACTGTGCTTGGGAAGGGCATGACCATCACCTTTCATGAGGCTTGGGGTTTCTTCCACTCGCCTGCATCTGCACCCTTGTGGGTTCCTTCCTACCCCCTTGTTGCCGCAGGATTTGTGTACCACAGCCAGGCTGAAACCATTGCCTTATCATCCCCCTTGCCCCGACTTAACAGTGCCTCCCTGCAAAGTCTGTATTCTGCTCTAGAAAGCATGTCCCCAGAGAAACAGAATTAATCTCAACGACCTCACACTTGGTCTCATAGATCAGTCATCTGATAATGAAACAAAAAATTGTTCATATACATCTCTGAAGTCCCCACGCTTCTCTATTGCAGCCAAATTACCCAAGAGTATTTGCTGACCTTTTAGCACACAGCTTCTCATTCTGCTGCACCCCAGAACACTGTTCTTTAGCAAAGACGTGTATTAAGGGGAATTAATTAACTAGGTTAACTGTCTGGATAATCCATTTTCTTGGTATAAATTGAGTAGTGATGGAAGAATGTTGATCTGTTGCTCCTCTGCTTTCCCCACATAGAGATTAAAAATAGAAGAATATCCAGATGGAGAAATTGGGATGGGATTGCATTCTTTCTGAATACAGAGTTTTGATAACCTCAGAAAATGGGGTGAACATTGCTTGGATTTAATTTCCTAAGTGTACTAGGAAAGTCAATGTCAAAACATTCTGATTTAGAGATAGATCTTTGAACAAAAGGGAAGGGAAATGTTTCATTCTGAAGCAACTTTTCATTTAGACATTTAAAGAATGGGAAAATCAGGGGCAAAAATCTGAGTGAAATGTTTTAATTGTGTTAAAACAAAAAAATTTACAATGAACAGGCTTTGTTTGCTGTGTTGTTTGTCAGTGGACACTTTTTAAATTTTCCTCTATGGAGCAGTTTAATACCTTGGTGTCTCTCAGCCCTGTGTGGAAGATTTATCCCTACCCCTTCCACAATGGGAATGCTTTTTGCTGCCTTTTTAGCCCCAGATGAAAGACCAGAAACATGCCAAGTATTGTGTTTCTCTGCCTTGATCCTGCCAGTGTTTTTCTGGCTCTGGTATTCAGCGAAGCGTGCCCCAACTAATGACCCCGCAGATGATTGGCACCCCACGCTGGACTGTAACTTTAAGCTGGAGGAAACCCTCTGGGCTTTATGAAGAAATTCCCTCTCTGTTTTTTCCTTAGATTGCAATTTTCTTATGATAGTGGATCCACTTTATTAGCAACCAAACATTTCCTTTAATTGGCATCCTGCCCCATGCCTCCTAAATGACTGATTTGACTACAAATTGCTCAGACTCGGTGATTTATTTTTCATCTCATTTATTGCAGGCATGAATACAGGAACAGGTAAACAGCTGAGCCGTAAAAGTTTCTCTTTAGGCAGGTTTTCAACAAAATGCCATCAAACACTGTCTGATGATACACGCTGCTACTCAATGAAACAAAATGGTTTGAGCAGTCTTACGCTAAAGCTGCTACCCACCAGTCAAAGCTGCAGCTGCCAAAGAAGCCTTCTCCTCCACTTACTCTCTATCATCTTCCCTCCTTCTCCATGTCATCTACAGCTTCTTTTACGGCACTTAACTTTACAAAACACAGTTGTGAGGCTAATCTTACATGCAATTACAGATCAGTCTCAGTATATTTATTGCAAACTCCTTGAACATCAGGACATTAAAAAAAAAAAAAAAGAAAAAAAAAGGAAAAAAAAAAAGAAAAATCCCATTGCAAAATTACAAGTAGGTTTTTGTAGCAAATGAACCAGAAATGTATTTGGAAAAAATAAATAAATAAAACCAAAAGCTATTTGTGAACAGTTCAAACAAAACATGATACTACCTCCAATGAAACATTTCACTGCATTGCCAGCTCTGTTTCAAATGGGCACGTAGGCATCCTGTTGCAAGAGAGTATTGAAGCCACGAACAGAAACCTTGGAGGAGTTAATTTTCAAATTTTGCACTTCCAGGGTCTATGAAACATGAAAAATCTGCACATACCATGGGATCTGAGAGAGGTGTGGAATCTCAAATAACATTTCTAAAGAAAAACCCAGTTACTCCTTTTAAAACAAAACAGTGAAAACAGCTGAAACACGCAAAAAAAAGCACAATTGGTTGGCTTCCATAAGAGGCTGCAATATGAGAAAATATTTAACTCCTTGCATAGCTATTTAAATGGCCAATAAATTTTGCTGGAATCACCCAAACATGACAACATTGCATTCTGCCACCTAGAGACTTCACGCTGAAAAGCTGGGATCTGTTGACTGGGTCAGAGCACCACCTGGGGCACTGTTAAAAGCCAGGGCCACCTCTGATAGGCTTTGTCAGCATGGCTGTAGCAGGAGGTTTCATCAACCAACTACCCCCAGATGGGTCACAACTCTAGGGAAGCCTCTGTGCTTATGCCACTGCAAGTTGTTACCCCAGCATTCTGTCTTCCCATAAGGGATAAAAGCTGTTCTGAAAACAGGATATTTCTGGTAGTATATTTACACCTAACGCGCAAGGCTTTTGCTGGCAGAGCTATGTCGATCACAAATTATACTTCAAAGCTCAACCCTGAATGATGCAGCTGTGTCAGCAAGGGTTTGCAATGTAGGCCTAATCAGCGGGACAGAAAGCAGGATTCATCTCATGTAACTTTAATCAATATAAAGGTAGACATTTAAGTCAGAGGCACCTCCGGAAGACAGTTCCTTTGATCTCTCATCAGGTGAGAGCTGGGCATTTTAATGTTAGATGAGATGAACCCTGTCCCAGGACAGCTGAAGAGACAAACTCCTTTCAGCTACCCTTTCCTATCACCAACTCTGGAGATCATGCTTCAGAAGGCTGCTGTTCAAATGCATTATCTTTACACATGTCAATGTACATGATAATGATAGCCTGTGCTGGGCTTCATGCTGCCACAACTACATATGCAAGCTCATTAAAGCTAGCTCAGATACTTCTGCACTATTATATAGACATACCCTCGGGCAGAGTATCCTTTAACACCTGTAAAGTTAAATTGTAGGGGCAAATCTAGACTATCTGCCCCTCTGCAATATGTTCATGTTGGCATTGTCTTGTTTACAGTAGCTTTGGGTAACAGGTGTTGTAACACTGTAATTCCCAACTGGAGATGAGGCAGGAGTGTTTCTTCAGAGGATGTGAAAACTGAGACGCTGAAGCATGGCTGAAGAAGGTACACAGTAAGAAAAAACAAGGTGATGACATTCCACAGTTAAAAGTTTAGTTTGTTATCAGTAAAACAGTTTTAATAAAGTTCCATTAGACTGCTGAATAGGAAATGGTGGCAGCCAGTGGATAAGACACTAAAACATGACAAGGCAACGTACTTGGGGTTGTTCTGTAGAAAACGTCCCACAGAAACTAAGCAGCCACATGAGCCTGTCCCTCTTCTCCTGGTGGGAACCAAAGAAGGAGGAGTCCCTGTTCTTCCTTAGCTATCCCAGAGCATGCCTCAGCTATAAAGACAGCCATGTAAAGTAACCTTGGTTCACGTTTTTTGTTTTCCAGTTCTGGCTATTTCAGCTGAAGAATTTTTGTACAAGGGAAGCAAAATTGTTGCATTTAAACTAATAAACTAATAGACTGTTTATGAGCCAGAACATCTGATGGGCTGGTCTGAATCAGCTATTCAGTTTTGCTTTTGTTTATGTGACCAGACTGTCCTAACACGGGTAACTGGATTTGTTTTGCCCCCAAACCTGAAGGCATATTGTGGGGTTCAGAAAGTCCACTCCACGGCAATCAGTATGACTGAAGGGTATGTTCAGATCTGTTCTTTTCTGGTTTTCCTTGACAATGACTTTGTGAAACTGTTGCCAGTTCAAACACAACCAGAGATTGCCTAACAGGCAAAAGACCAGATTCAGCTAGAGTCAGCACTGTGACGTTCTCAACCTTCTTTGTTTTCCTCTCCCAAACCAGCATCTCTAATTACAATTTTCTTTTATTTGTTCTTCAGAATGCTCACTCTCCCTTGGACAAAGGCAAAATGTGCTGCTGCTTTTCCTTCACCAACCCCTTTGAGAAGTGGTGAGAAAAGAGTAACAGGACATGGAAGCTGAAGTCTTTTATGTCTATTAATTCCCCCCTCCCTTCTGATTTCCTCACAGGGATTTAATGTTCCTAATCAATTTTTAAGAACCTTGGACTGATGGCGTGGTGCATTAAAACATGAGGAACAGAAGTGTCCTGGCACTGTAACTAGAGGGTGGACAGCATACAAGTCATATCTGATTACCCAGAAAAGTCACTGTAGTGTTCTAAAATCTGCAGTTCAGGTTTCTTTCTGTGGCTCCTTCTGCCCACTGCCTATGTTGAGCCACTTGATTAAATTTGTACTGTGATTTTCTACCTAACACTTGTGCTGAGTATTTTTAACAAATTTATGGCAAACAGAAAGTTTTGGGGTTGGTGGATTTAAATGGGAAGCCTAATGCTAATTTCTTGTCCCACTAAACATAAAATAGGCAAGTCATTTTATACCTTCACATCGCAATCCACAGTCCTGTGAAGCTCTCCATAACTCTCATTTTAGAAAAACAGCAATTCTGAAGGAAACCCAGTCTCACAGCAATCACTTTCTGGCCTCCACACAAACAAACTGCTTAAGCTAAGATAAAGTCATCGTAATCAGTACCAAATGAGGGGCAATCTTTTATCTTAATACAAACAAGAGAACATAGTGTACAGAGCAAGAGAAAAATATACATCTTCAGCCATACAAAATGCATAAAAGCTTTCCCGTTGAAAGAGTACCTTATAGCTGACAGTCAGATGTTAGTTTTCTAGATGACCCTGCACTACTGAACAAGGGGAAACAGAGAACTTCTTTTTTTTTTTCCCTAGGAAATAGTTGGTAGCATTACCTGTATACCATAAACTCCCTCCCTGCGGCTGCAGGTCTGCTAGTGCTGGACCACCCACCCCACCTCATGCCTGAGATAGCTCCACTGGACGTAGAGGCTATTTGCGTGTCAGAGGTGAAGGGGATGTATAGCCAGGTGTACCCTCCAAAGGTTTGCCAGGACATATGTGCTGATTACCAGAGCAAAAAAAATGGGTATAGGCAAGCTATGCCGTAAACTATCATTGTTCTTTTTCTTTAAAGTGATCGATCAATTCATGTCAGTCAGGAAGGTGGTTTATTTACCTGGGAGGGAAAAAATTCTCCCTGTGTGAGTTACGTCCACACCGCTGAGGCTCTGCAACCTTCAGTGCTGGGGCAGAAGATGTCTGAGCGTGGGCAAGCCCTAATGCCTAGGCAGATTGGAGAAGGTAAAACTCCTCACTTACTTAAAAAAAGTCAGTACCAAGCTAGAAAGTCAGTAGCAAATTGCTTTAAACAACTGATTTTTTTTTCATTAATGGAAATACGTTAAGATTGAGTTGAAGGTTTAGGTCAACATGACAAACTATAGGGAGTATTGGGTGTGTATATCTGTATGGTGGGGTGTCTTTCCCCTTTGCAGCTATTTATATCTCTGAGTGAAGGTTAAGGTTAGGAATTTAATAAGACAGCCGTTTATTCTGTGGAGACTAACAGTCCTGGGGTTAGGATGTAATAATCATTCTTCTGCTTTAAAAATGGTTCTTTAACAAATAGCAGTAGCTCATTGCAATTTTCAGTTGTACAAAATGACATATTTTCTATGTTACTATCAAAATATTCTGCATAACATTAATTTCTGTGCACTTATTAACATATGTACAGAACAGTGTTTCCCAATAGAAATCAGTATGTTCCTTGCTGATCCTTTTTTGCCCTAGATTTACCAAAACCAAACCAGAAATTAATTGTGTTAATAGTATAAAATCTCAGGAGAGATAAAGGATTGAAGGTTTATTTCCCAGCAGCAAATGAATAAAGGAACTCCTTCAAATTAAAGTCTAGCTGAGACGTAATTTTAACCAACCGTGGTGAATCCAGGCGAGCCAGGAATATCACACATTTTCCCGATGCGTTATGTTGAGTACACAGAAGCAGAGGAATGTAAACAGACAGAAGGCACATGAAAGGCCCCAATCCATTCTCCATCTGACGGAAGTGCGAATTTCATAATTCTGTCATCAAGAGTCTTTTCATCATTTTCTCTCTCTCAAGTTCACGCCTCAGAGTCTCAGCGCTGTGTAATTAATGCACAAACAGCCAATTATGGGAACAACAATAAGTTTTAGATTTCAATTTAAAATAATTAACATTTTCAAAATACCAAAGGAGGGGAAAAAAAGGTCAGACTCAATTCAGTGAAAAAGCTGATAACTGATGGCTGATTTAAAAACAAGCACCACTTGATATTTCTGAAGAGGCAAGAAAAAGGACATAATTTGCCACATGGCAAAACAATTTAGGATTTCATCTAAGCCTCATTAAAGGTTACTGATTTCAAAGGAAGCTGGACTAGGACTTTAAAAATGAAACAGTTACAGCAAATGCCATCATGAAATACTGCTGTTACAGCCTTCTGCTCCTTGGCATGGCCGGATACAGGGGGACATCCGTATATGCTGAATTTACCACAGTCCTGCACATACCAGGATGGGGGAGTCAGAGCCTAAAGTCCTTGCTCTCACATACCAATTCACTGCAGAGCACACAAGCTCTGTAACACTGGAAATGCCTTGGATTAGAGATTCCATTTCTGAAACTGTTTGCTGTGTTGTTCTGAAAATTAGGTATCTAATGTTTTACAAAAACAGTTTGGAGATTTAAACTGCAGTGCAGAGACCTTGCAGCCCGTTCATGAACAAGCAGGTGTAGAATTATCCACTTGAGACATCCTACAGAAGCTAAGTTCAGCACTGCAGCTTCAGAATTACATTTTCACTGGAATGATAAATTTTTAGATGACTTAGCAATGTTGAAGAAGTGTGCAGGTGCAATTAGCCAACATCTACAAAATATAATTAACAACCAAAAATGGGAACTGACTGTGAATCCAAAATTAAAAAAGACTCATTTATTATGATGCCAAAGAAATACTTTTCAACATAAGCCTAGGATTATTTGTGCTGCAGAACTACTGAGTATATCCACTCATATGTTTGTATTCTGTCAATTATCAGCCTGTGAAATTCAGCTTTTATTAAATTCTAGAATAAAAAGCAAGCATGGAAAACAAATAGGATGAAAGAATAGAAAACTGAAAACAGTCTGCCTGTGGAAAGATGGATAGGTTGCTGTTTCCCTGAGAAACTACATGAAAGATCACTGTAGCTTGACATCATTAAAAAAGAAAAAGGAAAAAAAAGGGAGAACAAGAAAGAAAACAAATGCATTTTTCATTTAGAAGAACAGACATTTCTCAACATCAGTTTTCCCCCAAGGACATTTAATTTCAAAAAACAAATTGCAACAGCAATTATTAAAACAAAACCTTTGTGGTTCAGACAAAATTACTTGCCTGAGCAAAATCTGCACAACTCTTTCTCTCCAGGCCATTGGCTGTAGAAATGGCTGCTGGCTGCAGCAGCTGATTAAGGTAGTATTTTTTTTCTCAGAGCAGATATGAGTTACAGGTATTTCTTTACCTAACCCACAAGCAGCAATCTTTCAGTATAGAAGGAAATGACACTTTATGGTAAATATGACAGAAAAACGGAAATCAAGCTGATTCCTTTAATGCAGAGAGCATCATAGTATTTCTGTGAAAGAACTGCACAGTACCTGTCTGCCAGCGAAATCGGTTTATGTGACGTATATACTGTCTGGACTGTTGGAGTTGGTACAGTCTCTGCCAAAGACCTCAGTACAGGCGATGGAGTTACCAGAGTTATCTTAGGTGATGACTGCACTGCACAGCATTGCATTTTGCTGTCTGCAAATTCTGCCTACAAAACAAAAGAGTATACACACACACAAAGGGAAAAGGTGTAGATTAGCTTCTACCGGTCTTGCTATCCTTCACTATCCAATTAGTTGCCAAACAGTAACAACTGATAAAGAGAACAAATGGGAGGCTGTAGCTATAACTTCTCAGTGCGACCTCTGTAGATACTGAACAGTCACTTCTTTTGATGCCTGAGGGACAAGCCTGATTGCAACACGCACTATGTGAGATGACACCACATAGGAGACTGGCAGCATTCAGGTAAAAGACATAATCGGTTTGGAGAATGACACTTATCATTATTGCATTTTCCCTAAAAATAATGCTGACAACATGAGATTTCTGAAATATTCTTCAGAAATCCTATATAATTTGCTGGTGGGTCCTCTGACTACTCTGTGCTTTGTTAACAGCCAGGAGTCTGGGCTTTTAGGAGTCTGGGTTTCCAAGACTCCATCCCTTTCCCACACGTGCTAACTGGAACATGCCTCAACAGATATTCTTGCAGTATCCAGTGACAGGCAATGTTAAAGCAATATTGGAAGTGCTAATTTAACACAAACAGCAAGCAACCATCTCCTGCCTTTCAGATGAGGCGTATCAGTGCAGCAATATTACAGCAAAGACTGGGCTACCTTAACAACAACAGGGGAGGATCCCTAAAAATCAAACAGCTCTGTCTTGTTTTTTGGCATGGACTATTTCTCATGCCAAACCACAGCAGCTAGTGCCTATGGTGCATGTATGATCCTGAACTGGGAAGAAAACAGACGAACTGCAGTTCATGTGTCAGGATCATTAGAATGATCCTGATCCTAATGGTATCAGCTGCATTTCTTCCTTGACAACTTTTTCTTCTGAACCTGGTTCAAAATTCTCTGTAGTTCAACTTTTAAAACTCAATCTTACAAGTTGCAGAGATATGAAATTTGGTGTTCCTCATACAGGATCCCTGTGCTCCGAGGACCGCCAGATCTTACTTTATGGCATGAGAAGAAGGCATCACTGTGATGCTGATATAAATTCTCCCAGCCTTACTGAAATCAGCAGAGTGATGATAAATCACACTTGTTGAAGAATTGTCTGGAGTCCTATAGTGTGTTTCCTCTGTATAATTTTTTTACAGTATATACTCAAAGCATCATTTTAGGTGTATCTGCTTGCACAATATGCTTAAGCCAAATATTTACCTGTTCTAAACAGATATAATTCCATTTATTTAAATCTATATGAGTTATACCATCCTGAGAATACGGCCATCATGCCTGCCATTTCTCAATGGAAACCACTGAAATTCAGATGGTTCCTGGCATGAAGCTTATATTTAAACATACCAGGTAACCAAGTTCTCTAATTTTTTGTCTGATAAAATCAACATGACTGCATATACACCACTAAATTCGAAGCTGTACACAAAAGTTAAATGTCTAAATGTCACTATCTGTAATTCTTTTCATGCTTAATAACATTTCAATGTTTTCTTCCAAGCAAAAATAAATAAATAAATAAAAAAGTGAAAGGGAAGCAAGGAAAGGAAAAAGGAAAAAAAGAGAAAACAAACAAGGAAAAAGATCAACAAATGTTACCATCTGGGTTTGTGTGTGACTGGAGACCATTCTGCCTGCAAGTCCTACCACTGATCTAAACTCTTCCCTTCCAGCTCCCACCTGTGATGTAACTATCTTCAAGCCCTCGGCAGAGCCCATGCATCAGGATGAACTGAAACTGCTGGGGAGAAGCACATCTCTTTGGGCTGTGATGGAAGGCCATGAAACACAGGACCAAAGCCCAGTTAACCTTCCTAATTATTTTCCCATCTTTATGCAGTCCTCTAGGTAGCTGCTTGTTTGCCACAGGTATTTGTGCATAACTCACAGGAATGTATGGGATCATATGATGGATCACACCCCGTTAGTTTTTTATTGTAATGGTGTTTTAAATATATGTGGTCTGGATTCTGCCCTCCAAGCTGCCCAGGGAAATGGAAATCTATGGGAAGAAGATGGAATTTCAGAAAGCTGAGCTTGAATTTTACTTTGCTTCTTCTCTCTCAACAGAACAAAAATTTCAACATTTGAATTTGCCATTTTCTGTGGTATGGAAATTTCTGTGGGTAACTATATTGGTGTATCTTCTGTTTCCATTTTACAGTTCTGTCCCCCCCAAGGATGAAAAAGTATGTTATATAACCCACCTAAATTTTGCTTTCATCATAACTGTCAGAGACAATAATGAACAATAATGTCCTGACAACCATTACTAAATAGTGGGAAAGGTATTTTGAGGGCACATCTTTTTCCTTAGATAAAGTACTACTATGAAAGACACAAACACTGTAACTTTGAGTTAGCCTTTGTCACAATTGTACTATCTGGACTTGGCTGACCTAATGAAATGTTGCTGTGACATATTCCTGTGTACTTTTGAATGCATTTAATTAGAGCTCAGTAGTGACACTTATACAACCTGGGGAGCCTAACTAACTCTGTCTTTAAAATACTTATATGGAGAAAAAACACATTTATGTGAAAGCCAGTGATCAGGTCCATTGTGAAAGAAAAGCCTCTTTCTTTAAATCATTAAATGTGGACAGAACCTGCACATGACCTGACAGTGAATGAAGTTACTTATCTCTGATTATATGCCAGATATAGATTGCTGCAACTAATAAAAGTTAAGGTCAAAGTCTGAAATGCTTCATTTTGCAAACATAATTTAAAAACTTAAGTAATTTTACTGGGATTTATAAGCAGAGAGTGTTTCTTATAGAGTAGTTAATTTTGTCATACTTATTACAGAATGCTTCAACCATTAAAGTAGGACTTAGATTGTACTCACTTTTTAAATTTTCAAATAATTGTTTTCTGGTTTTATGCAGTTTACCTTACCAAAATCCCTAAGTCACGTCTTCTGTGAAAGTTTAACAAGAATCAAATTCAGTATTGGATTCAAGTTATTAGGTAAACATGGGAGTTTATACAAGGATACCATTGTAGTCATCAACACAGTAACTATAATTCTTCCTTAAAATTCAGATGGAAATTCAGTGAAAATCAGGGCCCTCTTTGTGATGGCACAGCAGGCAGTTTCAGGCAGGAGGCCATGCAATTGCTAGACAGAGGACTGAGTCTTCCCATTCCCTTACTGCTCCTTGGAAAGATGCTATGGAGCTTCACAAGTGTCCTCTACAGTCCTGAACAGCAATTTTGGGATTGACTTCATTAGTTGTGAGCCTTGACCTTTAACTCTTAGTCCTCTGTCTAGGAAGCAGCAATGTCTGAATGCAGGCAATGTTTTGTATAATGGGAACATTTAACTGATTCATACTCTAATTTTTACTTGGAATTTATACTTTTTATTTTTGAGGACTACTTAGTGCATAGATTTCTGACACTTAAAAAATCAGCTGGAATTGTGTTAAAACACAGTTTTTTTAGTTGCACGTTCTACTTACAGAAAACTGTGGTACTGTTGTAAAAGGATCGAAAAAAGGATTAGATGTATCAGCAGGGAATGTCTTTATCTTTAAAAAAGATAAAGAAAAAGATGTTACTTTCAGAGCATAAAAATGCAAAAGAAAAAAAAAAGCAGCAAAGCATTGCAACTACAGTGACATATCCAACAAATCAGAGCAGTTCAGCAGTGCTTGGACTAGACCGAAAAAGACCCGTCCCAAAATGCATACAGAAACCTGATGATGAATAATCAAAGCATAAATACAAAAACTTGATAAATTAATTTTACCATGTAATTAAATCTGTTGTGCAAATACGGAGCTGATTGCATACAATATATCTTCCAATTCTGTCAACAGCCATTGGATTATTATCTGCTTCCTCCAGCCAGCATTACATTTTAAAATATGCAATATGAAGTGTAGGAGCAAATTCTGCAGTAGAGGAACTTTGGCTAAAGAACTTGTGCTTTACATATTTTAGACTTCCAAATGGTCACTTACACTGTTACTGCCGAAGACAAACAATCACACAAGGTGGGATAGAAATAAAATCATATATTAAAAAATCACTGGGGATAGCTGTTTGTTTCAGGCAGCTACAAGGCCCTGTGTTCAGAGGAGGGCTGTGGATAAAGGATGACCCTTGGAGGTCTTTTTGAAAAGTGCATGGAGACACAGAGGCAAGAGACCAAGACATCCATCTGCCAAGAAGCATGAGAGCTCCCATGGCTTGGTCCATGAGGATATAGTCTGTGGTGTGACCAGACTCTGCTGCAAGTCACTTCTGCCCTTAAAGTGGTTTCAAACACCAGCTGAAATTAAAAATGTATTAAAAGCAGCAACAATCTCTACCCCATTTCATTGTGAATGCTGTTTCCAATGATTTTCCTCTTTAAAATGCAGACATCATTCATTCAAAGGGAGGACAAAATAGCAAATAAAGGTAACAGTTTTGAACTGCATTTCATGCTTTCCCTTTGGAAAACCACATTTTTCACCGTAAAGGTGCGTTTTTCACTTTATTATAGAAACTGCTGTGCATTGGTTTTAATGCATGTCTTCAACCATAATTTACTAACTACAGCTATACAACTGTTGTTTAATAATGAGGAAAGCTACCCTGAGGGCCCTGAGCCCCTGAAGGCCAAAGGAAAACCTGGAATTATGACATCAAATATAATTAAGTAAATGTATGGTGTTTATTTGGTAAGTAAAATAACAGAAACGTTGGCTTATATGGGTACCAAGGGAAATTAACAGCCATCTGTGGGCCAACTTCTGCAAATATGGAATTAAGCTTAGCATTAATTGTCAGGCTTCTTACACACAAGGAGTATGGATAGCAAAGATACAGTTAAGCATGTAAATAACCTTTTAACAGAATAAATGTATTTGTAAGTCAATGATATAGGCGCAAATGAACAAACAACTATGTGAGAGAGAAATTATTTTAAATCACAGTTTTCTAGGCAAACATAGTAAAGAAAACTTCACAGTCCTTTTATAGTCCCATATTCATGTCTGTTAGCAAAGTATATGTATGTGTACTGTATTGCTGATTGAACCTACTCGTTGTATTGATGCAATAGCTCCTCACAAGTTTGTTACGTTATGTTATACCCTGAGCCAAATCTGTCAACAGCTGTAGCATGTCTCACTCCTTTGAGAGACAGTAAATACCCATGAGCCCAGGCTGACATTCTCAGGTTATTAAGGGTTTACAATATGATGTTACAGTACTAAGTACAAGTGTACTCAGTTACAAATAAAATCTTTGAGCCAAAGGCAAACAGGGATGGGAAGCTGGTTGCTCATGTGCAGTATGAGTTTGATATTCTATAACTGAAATCCCACTTATTTTGCTGGCTAGTCTCACTAACAAAATGAAGCACAGTTACTAAATGCAGGAAAGAAAAATTATGCAGAATAATACTCAAGAGTCCACAGAGGTTTGGGAGTAGAGGCATATAACAGGAATCAGCCCTGATTGCATGCTGTGACACACAGCCATGCAGAATACTCTCTTGCAAAATCAGCACTGCAATCTGTGGATGTGCATGAGGCCAGCCTACATATCAAAACATGACAAGAAACAGTTAATCTGGTTTAGTTTTCAGTGTGAGTCCCTCTCTCAGGGAGCTGTGCTCATTTAATCTTCAGAATAAGACAATTTCGATAAATTAAAAGCTCTCTGGGTTCTAAACTCATCAATTTCCAGCCTTTTAAAGAAACTGAAAACAGAAATTAGGGAACAGAGGGGGAAAAAAACATAACTGTGTTCAATTTAAGAGTGACAAACGGAAAACATCGTGCTCAGCCATTAGAATTTATTTTTTCTTCCTCTCATCCTTTTTTCCCCTCTGAGAACAGACCACCATTACTCAAATGGCACAACAGAGCTTACTGGTTTGGCCCAGGCCTTGCTATGATTGCTGCTGCCAGCTTCCATAGGCAAGGCAGAGAGACAACATTGTTATTGCCTCCTCAACATTGGCATGAGGTTCTTAAGTATTGATGGCTTGGCTCTTCTGAGTAGGAAGTATGTACAAAATCCTCATCCATACAAGAGCGAAAAAAACCCCCATACATTCAAGAACACCTTTCAGATAGACGATATGCAGGATGGGGAGACAATAGTGTGGAGAGCACCTGTTAAGCAATCAGTTTATGTGAAACTTCATTTGGAAGTTTGAAAAGTCTTCTCACTCAGGAATATATTTTTGGCCTAACTATCCTGCATGTCCACCATGGCCAGCAGTGTGCTGACAAAAGTAGCAGTTGCCAGCACCTGGGAGGTGGAAGAAAACCCTGTAATTCCCACCCCACCACACAAGGAAAGCAGTGTCATATGCAAGTCTCTTCCTGACCCTTGCACTGGGGCTGAGTTTATTGCATGAAATCGAAACTCTCAGCTCAGAAAGCAAAACAACTCCCTGATCAGAACCTAAATGTTATGCATTCCCCACACAGTACACAGCCTCTCTCCCTGCCCTAGGAGGAACACGTACTATACCTTTAAATATCTCCTAACTCACATGGCAGAAGCAGACCCTTAAATTTTCCAGGATGCTTTCTTCTCCCTGCTGTTGCAGCATCAGTTAAAAGATACCACCTGGGAACTGAGAAAGGAAGAAGAGCAGAGCCAACTCCACCACCTGCTGCAAACCTGTAGTTCCTCCAGCTTCTGGAGACCTTCAGCAGCTTCCAGGCTTTACCCTGGGATGGCACACACGGAGGGAAAAGGAAGAGGGAAGAGGAGGTGGGCAGTTCTGTGCAGATCACTGTTCTGAGCAGACTACTCTCACGAAGCTGAATTGTAGCTGCTCAGACTAGCAAAACACAGTAGCTGCTAATGTGTGGACAAGAAGCTGAAGTCTGCTGTCTGCTTTGGTGTGAAAGAAAACAAGTAACATCTTTGAAGTTTACAGCTGGGCACAATTCCTGTCATGGCAGATGGAGCAGCAATTGTGTCCACATGATGAGCACGTTCTGGTACAGCCAGGGTCTTCCACAGGAGCAAAAGGGGCTACAGAAATATCATGAGCAACAAGAGGTTAGAGCTGTGCTCTTGATAACAGCACAGACAGGCTTTTAAGTATAAAACTTGATTGCAAGCACACTTGCTCTCTCTGCAGGAGTGAAAACAGTCTTGCAGCCAAAGTCACAACCATAAAACAACCTTTAAGGCAGGTCCCGTAAGTAACTGTCAGGTTGCAGGAGCATGGCATGAAAGGGTAGTGAAGGCATTTGGTGTTCCAGCAGCACCTCACATGCTGAGGGCTTGTTTCACAACCTCAAATGCCCTTTGCTTGAAAGGTCAGGGTGCATTACCATAGCAGAACTACTTTGGACAAGTAACTCCTTGTCTGGAATATTTAGCTTGGCAAGCTGAGAATTTACTAAGCTTAAAAAAACAGTTGATTCTTAATAAAAAGAAAGAAATAAAAAAAGAAAAGAATAATACAAAAAGGATCAGAATAGTCTCAGGGAAAATATAGTGGTCAAGTAATCTTCAAGGAGAAAAATCTTAAAACCAGTCAAATGTAACAGTCACATTGATTTTGTGGGAAAATGAGTGAAATTTTATTCCTCTGTGGATAATTTACTGCTAGTACTCAGATTCTTGTTGCATTATTAGCTGTCCATTGGGGTAACATATTTTGGAGATATCTTTGCCACAAAGAATTAACAGCACTGATTTTCTTTATATTTATACTGCAAGGAAGAATGAAGAAGAGTGAAGGAAGAAAAAGGTCAAAAGGGCAAGAACCTTCCCCTTTTCTTTGCATTTGTGCAAAGAGTTCTTCTGGATAGAATTTAAAATCTCGGTAAAAACAAATGCTTTCCTGAAACACCTTGTAGATGAGTTAGGAGAAAAACTGTAACTTTCTCATAAAAGCAAAAGGAAGTGGAGGCAGACAAAGAAAGAGTACTTTTGTCATGTTAATTGATATAAAATCAGCTACTTTGGTATTTCTATCAGAAGGGAATATTACGAATGTCCTTGCTGTGGTAAAAAAAATACTACTTTTGGGAGAAGTAGGCTTAATATGGATATGTTCCCTTACATTTGGAGTAGTGTATTCACTGCCCTGGCACAACTTTCTTTCCTTCCACAAAGCTCCAGTAACATTTTCTGCAGTTGACACTTCAGTTCCATCCCCTACACCTTGACTGGAGGCATTTATAACATGATGGTGAAAATGTGTGATCTCAGTGTCATTTTGTATACTGGCCAGATGGAAGACAAACTTCAGGCCAAACACTTCACTAGATTCCCGTGCATAGCAGCAAGCAGAGGCAGAGCTGCTAACACCTGAAGGGGTGTCATAAAGAAGACCCTCAGGATACACATATAGCCAGAGGAATAGTCTGTGGTGCTTTATTTAAAAATACATGGTGTAAATTGAATACCATTACATCTATACAGCACAGAGACTTGTTTCTGCTCATCAAATTAGAAAAGAACATCAGCAAAAACTTCTGGAGTTCATTGCACTAGCATTTCCCAGTCCTGACATTTAATATGACTTTAAAAATACCAGTTAACCATTAGGCCTGGTTTC